TTTGGGATTGGTGACATATTTTACCAGAGCTGTGGGGTGAGCTAGGACTTGGAGGGAAATGGGAATTATGTTTGTGGGGAGAGGGAGCACATGGCTTTTCCCTCATTCAAATGAATGGTTTGGAGCTCTTTGAGAACTTTCTGCTTTCTTGGGTAGGATACAAAATTGAAAACACATCAATATTTAGTTATGCAAGGCCTGGGATGAAAGAAACTAGTAGTACCTACCTATGTTTTAAAATGTTTAGTATTTTCAAAGTAAGATCATTTGTCTTTTTTGAAGACCTTGAAGTACTTGCATTTCAGAGGTGTTTTGAGAATTGGTAATTACTGAGTTTTTCAAAGTGACTTGAAGTCAATTCTTGATTATTTACCTGGTGAATGTTCAATTAAAGATCATTTAGATTGAACTTTGACATTTGTATAGTACTTCCAGTTGAATAAGGAGAGTGTCTAATGACTATCCTGGGAATTAAGTTCCAACAAAAATAAAATTTGCCAGTATGGAAAGAACTCAGAAGAGTGGGGAAATAGTAAAATGTCCTGCCTTTCCACCATCTTTCTTCTTTTTTTTTTTAAATTCTAGGAAGATATCATGCTTTCAGACTGAATATTAGGATTGTCTTCTTTTCTTGGGAGTCCTGGAGGTGAGAGATGGGAGTTGGAAAAGGGCAAGGAAGAAGTATGGGGGTACAGTTTTAGAAGTGCAAAGCAATTAGAGTATGATGTGATGTCAAAAAATTGTCAAAATGAGAAGATTAAACTTTAATCATGAATTTTGAGAACGCTCATTCCAATACTACAAATAATTAAGGAGAGTAGGGGCCAGTGATCAAATCTGAAAGCAAGACAAATCTTAACATAAGTAGATATGCCCCGGTTGGAAGGCTCTGTATGTGATATTGACATCCTATGGGATGATTTCTTTTCAACTCTTTGATTGGTTCAAGGAGGTACCTTCTTTGGGATTGCTGACACATTAGACTGTGAAGAATTTATATTAGAAAGAGGCCTGGTATAAGAATCAGAAGATCTGTGTTTTCCTTCTGACTGTACTAGGCGATCTCTCATGCCTGTCATTTACCTTCTGGATGCTCTAAATTTTCTCTTGTAAAATGATGTCACATAGGTTCACCAAAAGTTTATTGTGGAAATCAAATACCTAACTCATAGGGTTATTGAAAGGAACAGCAGAGTTAAAGGATGTGGAATCACTGTAAAGTGCTATAAGCGTTTTAGACATTATCATTATAATTATAGTGACCTATTTTCCAAACCCAAATTGGACCACATGGTATGAGAGAGGATTTTTGTGCCACTTCCAAGGGCAAGAGGCAGTCTGCAAAATGTAACTTAGATGCCAGAATATTGAAATTTCTGGCACATTTTGATGGTATATGGGAACAATGATAAAATATTTGAAATAGTGGCTGTTCAGTAAAATTTATGATGTATGATCACTATAATTATGATATTTCTTTGCAAAATGTATATTATCTCTTGTATAAGTGGAAGTTCTTTGATTTTACAGAAACTTAGAGCTGGGAGGGACTTTAATAAGAGACTCTACTTCAATTTTCTGCCCTCAGTCTCCAGGACGAATGCTGGGTAAAGATTTGAGGGGAAGCAAATTTTGCAGCATCCCTTGTACAGTAGCTTGTCCTGTTATTGGACGGCTGTACCTCAAAATCTCTCTACATTTTAACTCTTATCATCTTAATTTTTTCACCATTTAGAAAAACATAACTTACTAAGAAATTTATATAGGAAAGGAATCATTTTTTTAATGGAACACTTTTCTGTAAAGAATAATGATGCAAAAAACGTTGAAAACATAACCTTGAAATTCTCTACCAGAAGGACTTGAAAATTCATATAGGCCATAAACATTAATTCATTTCTCCTAGAATATGTTATGTTTCTTAGATGATAACTTCACAAACCTATTTCATTTCCTTTGATTTAGCACCGTAACAAGCCCACGTGATACCTGGCACCAAATTCTACCCAGGGATATAAAGTTTTAAATTATTTATTCCCTGGGGTTTTTTAGTTTCTTAATACCGGAGTGTATAAGACAGAGGTAGTAGTCTATTTCTTGTAGTTATACTATAAGAAACTGTGGTGTTTGTTTTCTCTTTCTTTCATCTTGTTCCTCCTTTCATGAAGGTTTGAGATTTATGGCTTGAGGCTTTATAAAACTTTTGTTTTCTGCTTTTGCGGTCATATATCAAAACATTAAGGTGTTTATTTTTATTTTCAGTGACAAGAAAGGGAATGCTTTCGAGTTTATTTTCACTGACATTTATAGTAACTTGAAAATCGTGGAATAGATCAAGTTCATATTGATTGTCCCACGAAGCCTCTGAATTTTCAGCACAAACCGTAAACTAAGTGAGGCAGTTAGGATGCCCAGATAATATGAATGTGGTGTTAATAATCCAGTTGAGGTTTCAGTTTTTACCCAAATGTCTGAAACTTCTGGATCCCATCCCTGGGATTGGTTCTGAAAGGCTGAATAGATTTGCAGCTGGACTAAAACAAACAAATCTATATCCTTTGCTGGGAGGCTGCGCCATGAATTATGCATCTGTAGCCTTTGTGTCACTTCAGAAGTTAGATAGACCTGGAGAGATACAAACGCCCAGCTACAAACAGTCTAGAAAATTGGATATGGTGGCCAGGAGTTACTATGCGAAAGATTTGCTGTCTTGTTGGCACAATTCTCTTAGAGATTGGGACAAATAGCACACAGACCAATGGGGTGGCTTGGACTTGCTTTTAACGCTGTTGGGAATTGGTTTTTTGATGCAAGGTATAATCCGTATCCTTGGAGATTTCTGCTGCCAGACCACTGATGGAGGACCTCGATTTGTGTGCTTAGGGACTGTCATTCTCCAGTCCAGGCACTCGGCTCAGTGAAAGAAATGGGGTGTTAGGGGAGACAAACGTCTCACTAAAGGGATCTCTTTTGATCGAGTAGAGCAGCATTTAGCTGTGTCCCCCTCAGTGAGATTCCAGAAGTTGCTGAGCTTATTATACATATCGATCATATCATCTTTGTGCGTTCATGAAAAGAATGTCTATTTAATGTGAACATGACCAGCCATCAGAAAGAATAAATGCCTCACTGAAGCTTGATATGGCTGACTGTTGGCCTTATGGATGGTAACACGGAATCAATCTGGCTGGATTTTTTTTTAATTGCTTGTGCACTACACCATCACAGATCGACCCAGTTGCAGCTCTGAGCTTAAGTGGGTACTAAAGCAAAAAAAAAAATCTAGCATCCTGTGGGTGGTTTGAAATGCCACATTTGCTTTTGTGGATTCAGTAGAGTAGTATCTTTTCTTTTTTATGCAGCCCCTGCTGAAATCTAAAGTTGTGAAATTCAAGAGAACATGGAACTCACACGTTGAGGCTATGCATGCTCTGGTTAAGCCTTGGTGCTTTGTTTCAGCTATATAAATTATACATCCCAGTGTAATTCAGAAATGACAGCTTCTAGGGAGAATGAGAAAAGATTCTTTGAGCCACAGAGAAGGTTAGAATATATAGTTTTCCTAGCTCAGTCTAGGAGGCTCAGGCTGCCTTGCCAGATAGAGATGCTTTTTAAAAAAATTCATTCAACAAATATTTATTAAGCCCTTACTCTGTAGTATAGAGTCCCTTTTGCTAATTAAATTTTTTTCCAGCTTTATTGAGATATAGTTGACACATAACATTGTGTAAGTTTAAGGTGTACAATGTGTTGATTTTATACATTTATGTATTGCAAACTGATTACCACCATAGTATTAGCTAACCACCTCCATCCTATCACATAGTTACCATTTCTTTTTTTGTAGTGAGAGCATTTAAGATCTACACTCTTAGCAACATTCAACTATATGATACCGTATTATTAGCTATAATCACCATGTTGTACATTAGATCCCCAAACTTGTTAATCTTATAACTGGAAGTTTGTACCCTTTGACCAATATCTTCCCATTTCCTCCACCTTCCAACCTCTGGTAAACCCCACTCTACTCACTATTTCTCAGATAGAGATGCTTTAAGGTGTATGCAAGCATTAAGATCATTAACATACACAGCACATCTTGTATCAATATCTAGCAGTTGTTAAGTTCATAAAAAATAGTCACCTGATATTAAAGCTTTAAATCTGTCCAACTACACCCATTATTTCCACAGTTTGATATCTATAATAACAACAATAATAACACCTTGCATTTATATATCGATTTATAGTTAATAATGTGTTTTCATATGTTATCCACAATTGGGGCTGGCTGGCTGGTAACCTTAAAGATATTTGGTACTTCTATGTTATTTGTCAGAAGACAATCATAGTGACCTCTGATTTCATGGAGAAAGAATCTGGCACTAATGAAATTTGTAAAGCAAATTATGCTTTGATTTTTAAAGAATACTCTTGCAAAAGGAGAAATTAAAAAGGGAGACCCTTGTAGCCTATTCAGCTTTCTATATGGTAGTGGTTGACAATTGAGAAATTATTTCTTTGCTGAGATTTTGCTTTATCTGCGATGAGTCGTGTTAAGAAACAACACCTGAATCAGAGAGCAATTTTGATTTAGATTGATCTGAGCCACAAAAATGTCAATTGTTTTCACTTTCAAAATATTTCCTCAGCTGTTTTTGTGCCTTCCCTTTCAATATTTTTCTATTAGTGTGGGATAGAGACTTTGCAGAAGAATATGCTAAAATATGACTTCCTATTCGTAAGCAAAACTGACAAATACCTTTTTTCTTATTATCACTAAATTGCAAATGTCTGAAGGCCTGTCATAATTGAATGCGTCATCCTGAGATTTAAATGCATTACAATTTTTGAACGTGATTTGAAAAATGAACACAACTCCAAGGGAGGTGAGGCAGAGCTGGCAATAAATGGGTAGTGCAAACAGAATTCGATTTATGCATTCTTTTCAAATAGTTATTGATTATATAAATAAGTAGCCTATGCTTCTCTTTCAGAACTTTGCAGAAAACACCATGAATGAACTCCTTGGCTGGTATGGCTATGATAAGGTTGAATTGAAAGATGGTGAAGATATTGAATTCAGGAGCTACCCTACAGATGGAGAGAGCCGGCAGCACATTTCTGTTCTCAAAGGTAATGACATTTAATGTCCCTTTGTTCATGCAAAAAGGATTAACTATCTCAACCTGCCAGAATTAAGTTGCTTTGGGACTCATTTTGTTGATTATGCCAATGGTCGATTTAAATGTACATCCCCAGTAGTACTTTCTCATAAGCAGCATGCCGCAGAATATAAGAGAGCAACATAAAACAAAAATAGATGCCGCTTAATCTCCTTCCAGCAATGGGCGAGCTAACTAGACAGGACTAGGGATTTTAAGTGCTGTGGTCCTGCCCACAAATTTATAGAAAGGGACAATGTTTGCTAACTTCTCCTAGTTTCCTGAGCCCTTTGATATATCAGTTGTTGGGGACTGGTGCTTTTTTTTTTTTTTTTAAAGATTTTTTAAAATTTTTTTCCTTTTTCTCCCCAAAGCCCCCCAGTACATAGTTGTATATTCTTCATTGTGGGTCCTTCTAGTTGTGGCATGTGGGACGCTGCCTCAGCATGGTTTGATGAGCAGTGCCATGTCCGCACCCAGGATTCAAACCAACGAAACACTGGGCCGCCTGCAGCGGAGCGTACGAACTTAACCACTCGGCCACGGGGCCAGCCCCGGGGAGTGGTGCTTTTTAAGTGAAACCATAAGGGTTTTTTCAGACTGCAAGAGAGAATCGTGGTTAGTTTGGTAGTTCCCCCCTCCCCTGTTTCTGGTGAGAATTCTAAAAGAAAGCTCTATTTCTGGATTGCATGTGAAGTTTTTACCCTTCCTTCATCCCCACAGTATTGGATAGGGTAAGAAGAGGAGGAAGAGTGTAGTGCATGATTGAATCCTATATTATTCCAGAAGAATTTTCATCAGATCCCAGTTAAAGAGTAGAACTTAGAAGCTTGGCAGAATTGAATTAACACTGATTCTACCAGTGGGTCGCAATGCCAAATATCTCATAGGGAAGGCTGGAACCATTGGTGGTTGTTGATATGGATAGTGAACTTAAGAACCTAAATTTGGAATGAGAATTTGTCAAAGAAAGAAAGAAGAGAATGTGAAGAAGCAACCAATTTGGGGAACTTTAATAAAATGTGGGTGAAACTAATTGTGTGTCATCATTGGCAACTTGATCAGTATTTGCATTGCACTCAAAATCTATTGGCATAAACTACCTGTTCATGCATTTTATTTCCAGTCTCTAAGATAGCGCTTCTCCTTCTTATATGCCAAGCAACGAAATGTAAATGAGCTGTCCTGCAGGCATGTGGAATTGAACGTACGTGACAAATTTTATGTTAAGCTTGCTATGAAATTGTGCACATCATGTTATGGCGATAGTATGATCAATTTCACTGTAAATGAAAAATGCAAGTCATGAGTTTATATTCTATAAACTAATAGCTCATATAATACTTGGTCTAGGTAATAATCTTTGCCTCTGGGGAACATGGAGAGAGTGCCAGGATATGCCACTGGAGGGAAAAAAGTTGTTTTCCCTGGTTGAGTTGTTTTTTTTTTTTTCAATGATTCACATGCAAGGATAAAATTCATACAGTTCATATCATTGTAAGATTTCTTCATTTTCATTTTTGTTAATTTTTAATGGGTGTTAATGGGGTAATGTAATGGGTCTACCCTGTGATACAACAGTTTTATTCCTCTGCTTCTTTCTCATTGGTTCTTTCGGTTATAATCTGACCCAAGGTTATAATGCAGTGGGACCTAGTTGCAGTGCTGGGGGGCACTTTTAAGCTTTCCCTCTGGTAGCTAGAGAGCAATGCCTGCTATATATCACTTTGTACATGGAAAAGGTTAATTGCCTCTCAATTTTCTATGGGCTTTTACAGTGCTAAAATTCATCACCACGATGCAATTGGGATGTTAGCTATCATAGTGGAGCAATTATAAAGGACCCCATTGGAAATTTATGGTAACAAGACTGAAAAGGTCCAGGATGGTCTGTGAAGCTCTGGTAAAGTGTTTAAAGATTTGCAAGGAAAAACATATTTTATTACACTTTTACTTGAAAAAGCCATTTTACTTGAGAAAATGTAGTTTTAAGGAAAATAAGTGCTTTTGTCATATTGAATGTGATTTTTTTCTCTTACAGAAAATTCTTTGCCAAAACCAAAATTACCTGAGGACAGTGTTATTTCACCATACAATATAAGCACAGGCTATTCAGGGCTTGCCACAGGAAATGGACTCAGTGACTCACCTGCAGGGTCAAAGGATCATGGCAATGTGCCCATTATTGTACCTTTAATTCCGCCACCTTTCATAAAGCCACCAGCAGGTAAGTGGCTATGGGGTTTCCAATGATAACGGTTCATAGAAAGTTGTTTTAACTATCTTATGAATAATTATTAAAGGTTCAAGTGAATTTTGGAAAAGACCACTTTAGGAATTTTTTAGATAAGAAATGTTAGTGCATTTATTATTAAAAGTAGTATTACTATATTATGCGAATTCCTCAGTCTACTGCTTAGGACTTTCACCTGACAATGAACTTTTCCTACCATTAACTACAAAACAGTTATTTTCTTTCTCTGAAATCATCTGTTTAAAATAAAAAAGGATGAACTAACTTAAAAAATTACATACTGGCTGGTTAGCAAGAAAAAGTAACCGTGGTTGAACTGGTGGTGGTGTTGTGAGGGCCAGGTCTCCTCTGTGGGTTTTCTGGAGGAAGGGGAAGTTTTGTAGAGGGTGTGTGGCAGGCTTGTTCCTCAATGTGACTTCTTTGAAATCCACTTAAGAAACAACCTAGATCACCCATCTCCGCCACAGAGTTCTTTCTAATTCCTGGAAAGCTCTCTTTGAGAGCTTAAAAAAAAAATGGAGATCTGAATTTCACTTGCATGAAAATGTAATCAGTTCTTTTATATTTCCAGAAAATTAGATAGCAGTGTATTAAGCTAGATGGCAATGAGCTGAGCTTGATGTGATATTGCAAGCTAGGTTACAGATATGTTCTACGCAGAGAAAGAAGTTCAATAGTACTGTGTCTGGCTGCCTTAAAATGTTAGAATTATGCTAGAATATGTAATTGCTACACTGGTTATTTTTCTGTATATTGAATTGAACAATGATAAATACAGAGTTTTGACAGCAGTACTTATTGTAACTTACTGAAGGTAATGCTTGTATTTTTTTTTTAGAGAAGATAGGTGTTTGGTTATGTTCCCATAAACAGTGAAGATATTTATAGATACAAGTTCCTAGGCTTGTGTTATAGATATATTTAACACTTCTAAGTGTTACTAACATTTTTCTTCATGGTATGGGCATATTCTCTTGCTTGGTCTATTATATTTTAGCAATAAAAGTGTCATTTCGTACTGAGGTTCTCAGATATATCATTAAATCCACTTACCTGTCAAAGTCACTTGTAATTGCATTTGTTTACTAATTACTAACATGATTTGTGTATCATGTAAAGTTTGCCTTTCTAATGCCACTCTTCTTCTTTGGTTGATTGTGTTGTGATGCAGAGGGGCCTAAATATATCTCCCAAGGGCCAAAGACATATTTTACATAGGCCGGCTGGAGAGAAGAGGGGTAACTAATTTTGTAAATGTAGGGTTCGTGTTTGAATGACTGTCCTGTGACTTAGGTGAGTGGTGATGATGCTGTGTGACTGAGTGAAAAGAACATGGGCTTCAGATTCAGACAGATGGGGTTCAAATCTAGGCTTTGTCACTTACCAGCTCTGTGACTGTGGACAAGTTACATAAGCTGTCTTCTCCTCAGTTTCCCCATCTGTAAAGTGGGGATCACAGTTCCACCTCATGGCATTATTGTGGCTGTGAGACCAGAAAATGTATGTAAAGCATTTAGCATAGTGCCTGGCACACAAAAACCCTTCTGTAAACACCATGCCTCTTTTTCTTTTTTCCAGTCCTTGTTCTGCCCTAGAGTTATCATGCACATAATTTGTGCATAAAAAGGTGTGCATCCAAATGCAAATTCCCCTCTAAGATTTATTTGAGCAAAGCAAACAGCTTTAGAAATTAGCATAGCTGAGGCTAACATGAGTCTGGCATGCCAAAAAACCTGCCCTGGAGTTTCCTGCTGAGCCAGCCACGTGGAATTCAAGCACACAGCTCCTATTTAACTCTAATTCCACATCAGATCAGGAAATAAATATGCAGAGGGATAGAGGCCAAAAACTGAGCCTTGGAAGTCTTAGACTTAGGAACTCTGAGGAATCAGAAGCCAGAGTAACCGAATGCCAGTGGTTTTATGCTGTCTTCCATGCAACTCCAAGGCACTCGTCTGTTGAAAACAAAATGTAGGGAAGGACGTGTTTAATTTTCTGTATCTGCTCTAAACCTTGACTCAATCCTATTCCAGGGTTCTACATGACAAGACAAAGATACAGAAAGGTTCTCTGCTTTCAAGGAGCTTACTCTATTAGTCCCTAAGCAGAAACTTGCAGGAGAGAGGACTTTTCATTTAGTTATATTATCTAGTGCAGGGGTCAGTAAACTTTTTCTGGAAAGGGCCAGATAGTATTTTAGGCTTTGGGGCTGTACTATTTCTATCACAACTACTGAACTCTGTTGTGGTAGCAGTAAAGCAGCCACAGATAATACGTAAACAAAGGGGCATGGCTGTGTTCCAATAAAACTTTATTTATAAAAAAAGGCAGTAGACAGGGTTTGGCCCAGGGACCATAGTTTGCTGATCCTTGCAGTAGGGTACGGTGGCAAGTCTCATGATAACAAGAAGGTGAATAGAGTTTCTAAGAGTCAGGCTGTGAGCTTTGCCAAGATGCTCTGTGTACTATCATAAGGAAGGCACAGCAACAAGGGCAGGAAAATTGTGAGGTTTTCAGGGTATGTGGTGAGCTCTGGCACATAGTAGGTACTCCACAAATATTTGTTGCATGAATGAATGGATGACTGATATTCAGGTTCCCATTGCACATACACAAGACAGTACAGGTTACTTTATTGTTCACTGAGAAAATGCTAGTACCTTGTCTGAATTAGTCCCAACATGTCTGACCTTGACCATAGCCTCCCTGACAGTGATGTCAGTAATTATCCATGGATAAAGAAAGTCCACGAATTATCCAAAAACTTCTGTCTTGTTAATCATTTCAATTCTTCCTTCTGGTAAAACTTTTACCAGAGTGATTATTCAACGTAATCGAGTTGAGGGACACTCACTGTCAATTTTCAAGTCATATGTAGATTAACACGGCATTCCAGAGGGAAACTAGTAAATGGTACAATGGCTAGAAGCAAAAGGCCCCTCTGTAATCAGCCCTGAGTAATTTAGAGTTGACTGTATCACGCAAGTGTCCACCCCTTGGGATAGGGAAGACGAGGATCATATGTGTACTTTGGATTTCTGGGAAGAAAATATTAGTGTCCAAATTATTCCTGTTGTACTGTAAACTGGCTATGTGAAAATGCTAATAATAATAGTGCTTTATGTTTATATTAAATCCTTTACAGTTTATGAAACTCATTCACATTTGTTATTTAATTTGATCTTTACAGTGACCCTGGGAAATAGCATGTTAGATACCATTAAATAAAGAACTGAAACTCAAATAGGTTAAATGGCTTTCTCAAGGTCATGTGGCTGCTAAGTATGTGAGCCAAGACCAGTACTAAGGTCTTCTGACTTCTTATCCAATTTCTTTTTAATTAAAGTTGCGTTTTCAGCATATTTGTACAAAATTTCCCTAGACTGTATCAAAATACGAGTATCTATTAATCTGCTACTTCAGATTCCCCAGTGACAAGGGATACACCTTGTTCCTGCAAAAGCTTATTTTTTAAGGTCCACATCTTTTGGGAGACCTGATGGGTTCTCTAACCCTGGGACTCTGTGAACCGGGATGACCTAGGAAGAGTAAAACCCCCGCTTAGTTTAAAGTGTTTGCCATCACGAGACAAGCTGTTTCTCCTCTGAGGTACTAGAGGGCTCCCATCTGGTCAGGCACTAGTTCCAGGGTGTTTCATGTGCTCGGGCAGGCTCACCCCTGGATCTGATCTGTGTTTGGCAGCCAGTGGGCCCAGTGGAATACTCGTGATTGGGAACACGGTGATACCACACTTGCTTGGATTTCCACCTTCCTTTTGCACAGCTGCATACGGAAGTGTGGGTGTAGCTTACTTCTGGGCCTGGGGAACTGCTTTTCTGTTCCTGCCCCCCTTTACTTCAGAGAATTGGAGCTCCCTGTGCTTTGGTGACTACCACAAGCATTGACCTTGCTTTGGCCGCACAGGTTTGTGTTCCATTGCGTCTGATTTCTGGGGCTAAGCTGCCCTTCCCCGCTCAGAGACAGAATCTGGCCCTTGGTGTAGGGTTTGTGACATCACAGTCGTTACTATGGTAATAGACTTGTTATAAACACAGGATAATAGCCCTGATTTTGCTTTTTTTTTTCCCTCCAAGCAGTGAAGGGAATCACCATGATCCTTCAATAAGAATTGCAGACTTTTCTGCAGACTCAAGGAAGTGAATAGAGTAAGGCTTTGCCATACGGAGCAGCGATTAAAAAAAAAGCTATTATAAGAATAATGTTAGAAAATAATAGAAAGTATTGACCAACTCTTTCTTTTTATGCAACATTCCTTTATCTTTTTAGTTTGAACAAATATGAAAACCTCCTTTGCTGATTTAAAAATCACAGCATGAGCATAGTCTGAAGTGGCAGAAGATATATCAGCAAGAATTTTGAAAGATAACTCGGGTTAATTATATTGTAACTTTGCTGTAATTCTTCTCATATTAGAGAATTTATTATGGATTCAACCTTTGAGACTTCATTCAAAGAGGGTTGTGCCAATAAGGACTTTGGGCCTGGATTATAAGAACTGTGCTATGGTGAGTCTCTGTCAAGATATTATGCCTGCCCTGCTCCCCTCCATGTTTGACTATTGAAGGAAAGCCATTCACAATGGATTTTAAATACAGTTTTTTTACAAAGGTTTTACAAATGTAATGGCACTTGGCTCCATTGACCAGACCTCAGTCCTCTACAGCTGTTGGGTACATTTGGGTCTCCCCACCTTGTCTACCTCTGCTCAAAGTAACTAACTGAGACTCACCAGGATTTTTATCTTCTAGTTTCAGACTTGCTCCGTGACAGCATTTTGCTCGCAAAAATTTTTTAAAAAATCAATAAAACCATTCATGTAATTGTTTTTGTTCATGAGGAAAAGATGAAAAGCAGCAACTTTTTCTGGTGAAAGTTTCACTGAGCCTTGCTGCAGAAAACACTGTGTTTCTAGGAGACGACGTTTTAGATCTGAGTCTTGACAGGTTTTCCCA